ACTAGGAAGATAGAGCAGAGACAGTGAACATGAGACAGAGGCTAAAGACAAACGGTGCAGAGTCTGAAGGGGCTGCTGGTTGTCCAAAACTGGGGCTCCACACAAAAGTGACCTCTGGACAAGTCAAGCGAAAGGGCTCAGAGAAGCACCCTGGCGGTGTACCTGGAAGTCAGATCACACTTGCAAGATAAGGATGAATGTGACTTGTTATAGTCTGCAAATAATTGGATCTCTACCACACAAGAATGAAAGTAGAATGGGGACAATGTCTGCTGCCCAGGAATTCAGCATGCCAATTAGAAAGCCATGGGCAGGGGTAGCATCAGAAGGTGCCACATAGCATTATGAATGTTCCCCTGTCTCTGGGCAGACATTTGTGGGCCCTGGCGAGGACATAATGGATGGTGACTGAGTTTTGTGCCCTCCTCAGCACAGGAGGTGATGTCCACAAAGCCAAGGGCCAGAAGCACATGGGGGTTGGAGAATGGACATTTTCCTTCTGTTCTTAAACCATTCAGTGAACAGCTGGGTACTGAGAAAATAAGCAGGTGATTTCAGATTTGCAAAGCTGCATCCTGACCCCCTAGGCAGAGCCTTTGAGAACAGAAGGTAGGAGGCTGACAGAGATAGGTAGATGTGGGCATCTGAACCTAAAACACTAACTCTGATTACATATGGACCCTTGAGCCAGCTGCTAGACAGGACTGCCATGGTGCCAGGAAGCTGTCTCTCTCTCAGCATGGAGAAGCCAGATAAGGACCACCATTTGGTGAAGATTTCTGTTGAATAAGTTAATTCTTGAATTGAGAATGTAATTTAAAATTCCTGCTGGTGATAATTCTATGTTTTGGATTTACTTCTATAAGCTTCTAGAATTTTCCTGTGCCTACTGATGCCATTTATTGATAACAAGTTCATTTCCACTGGTGAAAGGGTCTCCAACCCATCCCCCACCTTTCCTTCCTGTGTCAATGAGAACAAAGATGAGAGGAAACGAAGGTGGGAGATATGCAAAAACTGTCCCACAGAGAAAGCAACATCACATTAATTAACAACAATTCCAGTACTTGCAAGAGAGTGTGGAACATTAAGCAAGCTAAGTGGCCTGAGCATTACTGTTCACAGATATTTGCTGCTCCTGCCTCAGAGGGTTTTATTTTCTTACCCACTTGGGCACATGATGTGCTTTCCAAAATGAAATGAAAGCAGAAATGACAGGTGTTATGTGTCACTTTATGTACAGGCTTAAAGACCGCTATAAGATAGTCCTCTTTGTTCTCTGCCAGGAGATTGTTCCAAACAGGGGCTTCTCCTTCACTGTGGGTCCCTAGAATGGAGTGATGTGGAGCATGGATGGATCTGATCTGGAACAAACATGTAGCATGAATGAGAAGTAAACTTTTAATATTATATGCCACTGAAATTTGAGGATCTTTTGCTCTAGCAGCATAATCTGGCCTATACCAATTAATACAAAGTACCCTTAAAGTATAAGTCAACTTTGGTTTTGAAATATATGTATATTAATTTAAAAGATTGATAAGTGCTACAGCAAAACAATAGTGATTATTTCCTGGGTTGGGGATTATGACTTTTTTCTACTTTATGCTTTTCTATAATTCCTAAATGTTCTTCAGTTAACAAATATTGCAATTAATATTAAGAAAAACATATATGTTATGTTCTTTAAAAGGCAAGGTAAAGTGCTTAGACTGAAAGTTCTATTGTGAGTCTTACCACTCATCCTAAAGTATGGGACTTTGGGTGACAAGTGTAGCATCTTTAAAAGTATCCCTAAGATCTGCACCATTAACCCCAACTGACCTTCTGTACCCCTCCATCCTTGATTCCCCTCAGCTCACAATCCTCCAAGCCAGACTTGACTGAAATGTGCTGAGGTCCCCGTCTGCAGTGTGGTGGTGCACAGCTTAACATTCACTTGCACAGAAGAGACTCCATCCTTCTTGGGAGCTGTGTGAACATGGCCTTCCCTTGTTTTTCATTTGTGATCATCAGAATCAAAGGACTTCTTTTCTAAGGCCTATTCCTTCACTATCAAATGCAAAAATGTCTATCTCTGGGTATGGGAATAGAGGAAATACCTCTTTCCTGCAGATTCATCAGGAAATTAATAATATATCCCAGAATTAAAACACCTTGATACCCTACTTAAAAAGACTAAGTAGGGATTTAAAAATCATATCAGGGTGAATCAGAAAACCCAGCATCATTAGAAAGTCATGGCCTCACTCTCGGTCTTTTCAAGTAAGGGTACCAAGGTGTTTTATGCTAATTACATTATTAAATTCCTTTATGACTCAGTCAGGATAAGAAACACTATGTGCTATAACAACTAAAAACTTTGGTAACATCATTATCATAATAACCATGGTAATTTTCTCACTTCTAGGCTAATGTGAGTCAAGAGGCTCTCCTGAGTGGATTTTCTAAAGCAGTGATCCCCAAACAAGATTCCTTTTATGTTGAAACTCTTTTTTCAACAATTGCACTATGGTTGACATCAGAGGAGGAAGATAAAGTGATCATACAGGGACTTTTACACAATACCTGAAAGTGATAGACATCATTTCAGACCACATTCTGCTGTTTAGAAAACCACTAGATGCACCAACCAGAGAAGGAAACTGGGAAATGGAATCTTCTCTGTGCTCAAGAAAAAACAAATAAGATGGGTAAGCATACAGCAGGTTGCTGACTCACTTTTATGTTTTAGTAATCAAATATCCATTTTATTCTTTCTTCAGCACATGGAACTCACTCACTTCTTCTAAGAGGAGCAATTCAAAGTTCTATCCAAGAGTCGAATCCAAAGCTTGAGTCTTGGATCTCCGGGAGAAGTGCAGATGGGGAAGAAGAAGACTTCCCCATCAGGTCCAAATGAGATTCCTTTTGATCTGATAACCTGTGAACTAAAACAAAAAGCTGCCCACCCCATTACCCTACCACATAAATCCCAACAATGGGAAATATATAAAGGACAGCCTCAACAAACCCCTCCACTTGGAAGATGAAGAAGGGAAGTCCCATGTCAGTCACTGAACCATAAGAATTTTGAAGTCCCGCTGAGCAAATGCTCCATAGGACCCCAACCCTGGAGAGGGGACAGTACCTCACTAGGCCAGGTTCTCTTCTCTGGGTAGAACTCCTCTGCCCATTGTTCTCTAGGGCCTCTGGCTCTGCCCACAGAGGCTCCTATTTCTTTGTTGTTCTTCTTGCATTGAGGGCAGCCTCATAGGAATTAAACAACATTTGAAGCTGTCTCCTTCCAGCTTCATGTATCAATATGCCTGCTACCCACCTATATCCCAGCTATGTCCTTTCCATGAAGAAATCAAACTTTGGAACTACCAGGTTTTAATACAGAAAACAGAAAGTGCTCTTGATAATCTGAGCAAGAAGAAGTTGAACCCAGGGAGTTAGAGGACATGTAGCAATTGGAAGGTCATGAGAGCACAGCTCAGGAATGCCACTTTCAAGAAATACAGAAACACAGGGTGGGAAGCCACCACCACCAGTCACAGCTTCTGCAGCACAGACATAGTTGATTCTTGGAAAGACTTTCAGTGCAGTTGGAAGTCACTGACAATGATCTCAGTTGCCTGCAGCACAGAGGTAGATTATTCTTAGGAAGATGTTGTAACGTCAGTCACCAGCAAATCCTACATCAGCTGTCTGCTCATGCTTCTACAAGGATAATAGATCCTCCTTTCCTCCTGCCTCCCAGATTTCCAGAGGTACCCCCTTTAGTTGGATCTGACAGAGACTCTCCTGACAAGGGTGTCTGGGAAATGTAGTTTCCATGTTTTATCACTCTGTGGTTCAGAGAAGACTTCTTAGAAGTGTGGCAGTGGTATTAAATTCAATAATAATATTCTTCACACTGAAGTTCACAGCAATTATTAAAAGTCATGACCATTTTGACCATTATTCTTTTCCTGCCTCATATTTGCATTTGTATCTTCCTTGTATGTTGACAGTGAATGTGAGTACAAAACACATCATTCTGTATCATGAAAAAAGTAAAGATTCCTTAAGGGTCTAAATTTTTGCCTCTGAACCAGGAACCTCAAATAAATCTGATCAATGGCAAACATTATTGCCAAGTGGGAAAACTATACAATGGGAAGTGAGCCTGGTGAGTCCAACTGAGAGTTTGATACTAGCATCCTACCTGAAGGAAAGTTATGTGCCTGCTCCAGATTTTGTTCTCATCTGGAATAAAGGGACTAGACATGTGGTTTCTAGACTTTCATGTAACTTTGGAGTCCTTCTTCAAATGAAGTCTAATGAGGAGTTCCAATAACTGAAACAGATAATGAAGGGGCTCGTGTGTGCATACTCAGTAGCTTCAGTCGTGTTAGACTCTTTGTGACTCTATAGACTGTAGCCCACCAGCCTCCTCTGTCCATGGGATTCTCCAGGCAAGAATACTGAAGCGGGATGCTGGGCCCTCCTCCTAAGGAGGAGGATTTTCCCAACCCAGGGATCAAACCCGCATCTCCTGCATTGTAGGCAGATTCTTTACCACTGAGCCACCAGGGAAGCCCACTGAAGAAGCTACTTGTTTGTAACAGAATAGACACTGAAGCCCAGCATTTCCTGTGGCAGCTCCAGATAATCCTTTAAGCTCCAGGGGGCACAGTTTTAAAACTCCTAGATGAGATCTATAAAATATCCTATCTACTTCTAAAGCAATATTACACAATCACTTTCCAAGTCTTGACTGTTGGAGATAATGCCAAATGCTTATATATATATATATATATATACACATATATATGTATATATATATACACACATATATATATTCAGCAAGCTCTAAGGCTACTTTGTATTCATATGTGTAGGGCATACTCAATATAAAATGGGTGATTTTCATATAGTCTTCCACCTGTTAAAATGAGCAGGTTCAATATTTTGAAAGCATTCTGTTTGTGACCCAAAACTCAGATTCCAAATGCTATATGACTTACTTTGAGATTTAATGTGTCATTATTCAAACAATACTCTGATAGCTGGAACAATTCCACAGAAGAATGCCCATAAGCACTGTAAAAGACAAATGAACAGGTGCTGCTTAGGGGACAGCAATTAGACTTAACCAGAAATTGCTGACATTGTCATAAACCAAGATTATTTCCAAGAGAGGAGAAAAAATCCCACAGCATTCACCAGAACTTCTCAGCTATATTAAGTGGAAGACCAGTCATTGTTAGGGTCCACTTGGAGTAATTTAAAATATAGTAAATGCAAGAAAGCAGAGGAAATAGAAATGTAAGATCACAAGAGCTTTTTTTTTGACAGTTCTGTTTTTTTGCCCATTTTCCAATTGAGATTCCATGTCTTTCTTTTCACTATACAATATTTAATGGGGCCATTGCAAAGGCCAGGTCATGAAGTCTGCCAAAGAGCTAAAGTAGAAGAAGCCCATTGCAGTACCATCAGGAGCTCAGGAACGTCTATAGTTTTATCATTATCTCAGTCTGTTTGGAATACTAGTACAAAAATGCCACAAGCTAGAGGGCTTGTAAACAACAGAAATGTATTTCTCAGAGTTATGGAAGCTGGGAAGTCTAAGATCAAAGTGCCAGAAGATTTGCTGTCTTGAGAACCTGCTTCCTAGATAGTCACCTTTTGGTTGTATCCTCACATGGCAGAAGTGACAAGGAAGTTCTCCGGGGTCTCTTTTGTAAGGACACTAATCCCATTCACGAGGGCTCTACAGTTTTGACCTAACACTTTCCAAAAATTCCAGCTTCAAATACCAACACATTAGGGATTATGTTTCAACACATGAATTGGACAGAGCACAAACTTTCAATCTACAGCAGCCCTACCCTAAGGATCATGAGTGTCTGCCAGCTGTGACATGACCCCCTGAAACTTTGGAGCCTGGGACAACCCTGAACTTGGCCCTCAAGCCCTCTCATTTCTTTCTGATACCAGCATGTGGTCACAGACCTGCAAAGCATCAGAAGCAGTGTGGTTCTTTTGTTTAAACATGATTCTAAATGTGCCTCTAGATCCTCTACTTCCTCAAACATCAACTCACACCCCGCATCTTATTTGGTTCTGTCTCTGATTCCCAAAATCATGGTGCCTTCTCCTCTTACCTTATAGCCTCTGTGACTTAGTTAGAGCTGCTAGTGTTGATTCACTCTAGGTCTGGATCCTCTCCTCTCTGCAGAAGAAAATGTCATAACATACCAGGATGTCATAACATACCAGGATTTTAATCTAGGCTATACCCCTTTCTAGCTGATGACCCTCAAGTCACCACAAACCTCAGTTTTCTCACTTGTAAAAGGGAAATGATGATACCCACACCTCCTAAGAAGCATTAGCATAATGCATGGCATGTAATTGTTGTTGTTCAGTCACTAAGTCATGTCTGACTCTTTGCAACCTCATGGACTGTAACCCGCCAGTGGCTCCTCTGTCCTCCACCATCTCTTTGAGTTTGGTCAAATTGATCCCCATTGTGTAGCAGCTACTCAACAAATACAAATTATCTTCTCCTTCCCCCTTTCCCTGACAAGTTCCATGTACTGTATCCAGAGCACTTTTTAACCCCGTAGGTGACTGCTAATTTTTTGCTGTGATAATAATGCTGGTAACATTCTATCTGAAGCAGAGCTGAGGAAGGCTTGTGGTAAAAGAAGATAAATATACTATTCTTCATCTTCTTCATCCTCCTTTGAGATCTTTAGGGAAGATCCCATGGGCTCCCTCTGGTTGGATACCTGATTGACGAATCACAGAAGATGTTGTGGAAGTCATGTGTTTTTCAAGACCTCTATCTCAGTCAGCCCACATCAAGGGCAATTGGTGGCCTGACCATTATCAGTGAATTTAAATGTAGTCAAACCACAAATGAGTGCAGGTTTTTTACTTTTGGTTATCTATAATACTACCACAAATTTCCAAATCTCTGGTTTTTTTCTATTATAGTGGTGAAATATACCAATGAGTGTTTTTTTTAACACCTTGATAAAATAAGAGCATGATTCAGAATTACAATCATCTTGAACTTGTTTTCCTCTGGGGAAAAAAACAAAAAACAAACTACTAATCCAGGTCACCAGTGCCCCATGAATGTCTAGAGATGTCTCTGAGCAAAGTGGTTCAGTTATCAAATAAGACTGTAAAAAAAAAAGTAATTTTTGCCTGCAGGCTTCTTCTGACAGGATTCCTGATTGAAGAATCATGGAAACCACATATTTGTAAGACCTTTAAGATTCAGTCTACACTTAACTCCTGGCATTCTCAATATTCACGTTTAATTTAGTTTTACACAGAACTGATTGTTCAGCTGATTTGGGGTTATTTCAGAAGAGCTATTAACACTTGCAGGCCTTGGTGTCCACTGGAACCAACTGAACACGATTTGAGAGAAGTTGATCTGACCCAGCCCCTCTCGTTAGAGGAGAAGTCACTGAGACCCAAAGGTGTCATCTGTCAACTGCCAGAAAATCTGAGTTCCAGATCTTCAGTGCCCTGCCTCATCTACTGCAGTCTCCTTGTGGCAAGACATGGCTCTCAGCAGAATCTCCTCCTTTCCTGTGTTACTTTTCTGTTGTATTATTCTCTCTGTGCATATCCACGCATACACATACCACAAATCAGAACATCATCCTCCTGTGGCCCTCTTCTCCTTCAGTGGGCAGTGCGTTAATCCCATAGAACTAGAAACAGACAATAACATGTGGGGGCGTTGTAAAGGCCTATGTTTGATTTCACTTAGGAGCCAGGCTGTGATAATGCACTCCTTCATCATTCATTCCTTTATTCCACAAAGGTGTCCTGAATGCCTGCTGCACCTGAAACTGTGCTAGGTGCTATGGATACAACAGTCAGTAAGACACAGCGCCTGCCTTCAAGCTGCTTCCATTCTAGTGCGAGAAACAGGCCTGTAGCAGATGAATGTAATGAAGCTATGAAGCTACTGTGAAAAAAGCTAATTTCTACACAAGCCACAAAAAATCAGGGAAAAGTGATTCAGAAAATAATATTTTAAGCACCTCCAAAGAGTCACAAACTGTTTCCCAAAGCACTTGGAGATCTTGCCTTAAGAGCTGGAAGTGTCTCATTTCAATTGTTCAAATTAATCAGAGCAGTAGCACAGATGATACTACTAAATAGGAGTTAAGAAAAAGCCAGTTCTCTGCTTTAGCAAATATCATATATCATGAATAACCATCCCCTCCTCCCAACCCACACCCCAGACTGCACCCGCAACCCCTGCCCCCCACCCTGCAATAGCAGCTTGCCTTGTTAATTGTGTTTTCTCAAAGCAAATGCTAACATTGGTTTATATCCCTTGAGCACACACCAGCTGGATAGTAGGAGGAAGCCTGTTCAGCATTAAAAATTGACCGCAAATAATTTAGAGGGCAGACAAGCCACAGGCAGATAGGAATATATCGTTATTTACAACCGGTAAAAAAAAACTGTCCCGACCCACCCTGCAGCGCCATCTCCCGTCTCTGATGGGGTTGTAGTCTTGTTCAAAGTTTTAATAGATTCTTTTTACGAATGCATCAGTAGGAGCATAAACAAGGTCACATGAAATTTAGAGGACGTTAATGAGACCTATGTAAATTTAGACAGCCTGGAATGCAGTTATTAGATCATTTTCAAGTGAATAAAACCTGAAATTTGCTTTTCAGTTTGCAAATCATCTCACCAGCAACTGCCCACCATAAGCACTCTCCAAAACCCATAAAGCAACGGGTCTATAAAGGATGTTTCACGGAAGAACTGAATCAAATTAAACTACCGTTTACTTTGGCCGTAGAAGCTCTGACAAATAAAATGAAAGATGCTGTTGCCATTTTCATCAACTAAAACAAATCTTTGCTGGGGAGAAAAAGAGGAGAAAAAAACTAAAATGTCAGTGGCCAACACTGTCATTCCCTGCCATTCAGTAAATAAACATAATGTCTGTTGGTTGTCATGGAAACGTTCTGCCTGATTCCAAGCATCAAAGCTTAACAATAAAGACACCCTGATATTTGTGACTGGGCACAAACAACTCTTTTGGCATTTCTCATGAGCTCACAAACACAAGAGCCATTTTCCCTGTTTGTTTTCTTTCTTAGGCATGAATGCATTTGCTTTAGAAAAAGAGACATGTATCTTAGAAACCTATCAAAAATATTTGAATACAGTTACCTCACCAATCTCAGCTTCCCCTCCCCGCCTTTTAACATTTGCCTGAGAAGAATTTAAATGGCATATTTAGTCACTACATATTGTGCTTCCTGTACCTGATGCTGTGTAAAAGGGATTGATTTAAATCATTTACAGTAACTATGTGGGGGAAGCGGGTTTGGTTTTCAGCACCAAATGCTCCTAGATCCATAATAAGCAACCACAAATACAGACAACAAATGACCGTGCTTATCATTGTCTCTTCTTGGGTAAAGAATTGTTCTTTAGTAAACACTCATTACACACTTGCAGCATTCAACAGGAAAGTGGCTCAGATATGTGAGCAGAGATATAGGATGCTTAACCCTCCATCTCCCAGGTAACCAGTCTCAGAACTGCTGGCTACAAAAATCCAAGAATGTTCCTAATTTTTTTAAATCATGGAATTTATAACCTCTCACAAAGCAGGAATGTACCAAGTGTAAAGGTTACAGCTGAGAGCTACTAAAGCTTTAGAGGCAACCATTGTTAATAATGATCAGCTGAAAGAGGAATATAGCTCAACCTTCAGAGCATCACTCAAATATTTAGCATTTCTAAAGCCCTAAAGCCTCTGACAAGCTAGGCATAAATCAGGGAGGATTTAAATTCCTGATTTTTTGGCATTTTTCAAGCTATAAATCTCACACATTCTTAAAACCACATTGTCCCATAACTAGAGCTGAGGACCAGAGTGGGTTCCAACTGCAGCTCAAATAGAACAGGAGTGAGGATGCCTGCTTTTATTAAAGCATTCTAAAGTGAAGCCAAGACGGGCTTTCATTTATCCCAACACTCTACCAGGCTTTTCTCAACTTTGGAGGCAGTCATCTCTGGATTTTTCTAGAAAGATCCTATTAATCCATGTCTGCATATGTGAAATGGTTTCGATAGTCAGAGATAAGGAAGCATTGAAAAGGGGAAACCAAATGGTCTATAAATGAATCAAGTTGATTCAGTTTCTCAAAGTGGGCTCCAGGACCACTCGTATTAGGAATTCAGACTCATCTGCTGTGTTGAGATTCAGCTTCTCCAGCCTGACTGTTTTGTGTTAGTTGTCATTCAGTTGCTCAGCCATGTGTGACTCTCTGAGACCCCATGGACCATACCACGCCAGGTTTCCCTGTCCCTCACCATCTCCTGGATCTTGTTCAAACTTAAGTCCATTGAGTCGGTGATGCCATCCAACCGTCTTGTCCTCTGTTGAATCAGCTACACGTATACATATAAGGAGCCTGCATTTTAAACTATGGGCCAGGTATAAGCAGTAACCCGCAGGTGTTTGCTACGATAAAGTGAAGGCAGATATGTGGGCTTCCCAGGTGGCTCAGCGGTAAAGAATCCACCTGTAATGCAGGAGATGCAGGTTCAGTTCCTGGGTTGGGAAGATCCCCTGGAGAAGGAAATGTATTCTCGCCTGGGAAATCCCTCCAGACGAGCCTGGAGGGCTACAGTCCATGGGGTCGCAGACAGTCAGACATGACTTAGCGACTAGACAACAATAATTATTTGTTATATTTGTTTCTTCCAAGAAAAAGTCATTGTGCACTCTCATTTTTCTATTTATTTTTCACTGTTTTTCAAATAGATTCTTCTCTCATGTTCTCTCCCTTCTGAAGGGCTATGGGAAGAGGCTTTATCCCTTCACACGTTTACCAAAGAGGCTTATGCCCATCCTGAAGGGAGTGATGTCCCAGGGACCCGGAAGACCTCTGTGACCTTGACTAAGCCCTACTTCTCTGAATAGCAGTTTCCTCATAATTTGAGTTTCTCAAACTTCAAGTATACTGCCATGTGGTAAACTCAAGATTCTCTAACCCTGGCTAGAAAAGAAGTCAGAATAAGGGGAAATGGAAAAGAGAAAAACCTGTAAAATATTTTTGGCCACTTAATCTTCTTTTCCAGCAGTTGGGGAAAGTCTAATTAGAAGACCTTCTTACTGTAGTACTTTGTATTTCATAGCATCTTCTTTCCCTAAAGCTGGAAAGAATCTTTACCAGAAATACGCACTGTGGGCTTGCTGTGGGCAGTGATTCCCCGGGAGCCTGTCATGTGAGAAAGGTCAGGAGAAGAGGCAGTCCTAAGGGTAGTAAGGGTCATTGAACTGCCGAGGGACTTTTAGCCACTTTTCTTTTGAATGTACTAGCCTAAATATATTTGTGTAGGTTCTTGCCTTTGTGTCCATTTTGTGGACACCATAGAAAGGAGGGAATTGAAAAGCTTACCATCCCATGTTGTTTTCACTTTATAGTTCTAATTCCATGAAGAATAGAAACAGGAGAAGAAATAGGGACCTGGGAGGAAGTTTGCACACTGGGGCAAAGAAGAGGAATGAAACAGCTGGCACACATATCGGGTAGTAGGGGTGTGTCAACAAGTGAGGCCGGCTCAAGCAGGATCCATCACATGGCACTCCCCCCAACACCCCCAATTGGTTGCCTCTACCATGTAGGCTTCTGGGGATTCTCAGAGACTCCTTTCTAGGGCTTCAAAAGTATGGGGACCCTTTTGTTTCCTCTCAGTCCTGGGAAAGCAGTGTTTGATTTTTCCCAAAGGAGTTTTTCTAGCAAACAGAAGAAAAACAAAACCAATTTTCCATAAACACACAGCAGCATAAGAGATCCTTGAGTCTAGACCTGCTCAACTGACTTTAACTCACTTCCAACCAAGTCCAGTTCTTCTGGCACAGATCCTGGAGAACCACTCCCAGAATCTCCTGCTCACCCTTTCCTGCCTGGACTGGGTGCTAAACAAACATGCTCTATCTCTTAACCAGAAGTTGAATTGAGTTTGTCCCCACTTCCAGGCCTGGTAGGGGTTCTGATGTTTTTCTGAACATCATTTCCCAAGCCTTCCTGGGAGGAGACGTGGATGAAAGAGGGCTTTGGAGACAACAGGTCAGGGTTCAAGTTGTCAGTTATTGCTGACAGTCCATATGACCTTATACAAGTTGCTTATTTCTTACTTAATCATCAATTGCTTCCTAGTAAAATGAGGCAGATAGATTGTATGTTGTTGGTTTAAAATTTGACCAAGAACGTTGCTGTGTGTGCTGTGCTTAAGTCACTCAGTTGTGTCCAACTCTTTGCAACCCCCTTGACTGCTAGGCTCAAGGGGACCCCCCAGCCCACCAGGCTCCTCTGTCCATGGGATTCTCCAGGCAAGAATACTCAAGTGGGTTGCTATGCCCTCCTCCAGGGGATCTTCCCAACTCAGGGATAGAACCCAGATCTCCTGCATCACAGGCATATTCTTTACCACCTGAGCCTCCAGGAAAGCCCAAGAACCATTGACCATTTCACAAAATCATATAACCAGCGGCAACACTAGGCATCATATTAGTTATCAATATAGTACACCTGCATTTCCTGGCTCTGTAGTTGTGTTATCCCTGAGATGTTCTGATAAGGCGTTAACATCTGACACTTCGCTTTTCTGATGTAGTTGTGCCCAAGGATTTATATACTGAGATACACATTGTGTTGTTATTCTTTTTTTTAAATTATGTATATAGGTAATTTATATTGTTTATGAATTTTATTACAATAAAAAGGACACTATGAAATATTTGTTATGAAAGGGGCATTGGGCCTCATATGGTTACGAATCACTTCTCTAGGAGGTAAAGGCTGATGTGAGAGATTTGTGATTTATCTCCATGAAGGTGATACCTAACACCCCAGGGAGGAGTCAGCTTATGAGATGTCTGGTTTGGAGTGCCATGTCTTTAAAAGTGATGGAGAAATAACCACTGGGTAGAGGACATCACACAAGAACACAACTCATCAAAGTTTGTCCAAAGTCCCCAGTAAAGTGCTACCCCATGGTCTATCTGAGACTCTAATCTTCCATTTTCCCACCACTTCATTGCATGTGATTTTCCTCCTTGGACTTGTCAGCTTGCTTGAATCAATAGATATTACAACCGACCTCCAAAACCCATTCTACTAGCAACATTTTCTTGGACACCTGACCTCAGTCCAGTCTAGTATGGTGCTCCACTCCTGTTGGGCTTCAATTCCAGAAAGCCATCTTGGTATCTGACCACAAAAAGGAAAGAGATCAAAGAGGAAAAGTGTAAAAAGAGGAACTGTAAAAAATGACCTTCTTTGATCAGACAAGAGATTAAGTAAACTCCTGCTACCTAGTGCCTCTCAGTCTCAGCTTAAGCCTTTGTTCTCTCCCTCCCATGAATTCTGAAATTCATTCAGTTTTATGTTTTTATAAAATAGCAAAATGTCTCACTTTCTCAGTCCATGATTAAAATCTAGTTGTTTATTTATAGGGCCATTTGTTGCTGAAACTTCTCCTTTAAAAAAAATAATAATAATTGCTTCTTCAGATGGCTTTCTTCTATCTGCCAGAAGATGTCATTTTGGGATAAGGCCATTCAAACTTGTTCAAATCTGAGCAATAACTCAACCAAAATGAGGTCAATGTAAATGACTACCCACAACGGGGGAAAACCTGTTAAATTAAATCCAGAGTAAGTACCAACATATCATGTAGTGAGAGTTACATGTGTCAAATGAAGGAGTGTTATGAGGATTAATGAGTCCGTTATTTAAAAAAAAAAAACACTTTGGGATTCTTGGATGAATGGCATTGTTGAAAGTGGGGGTAGGGCTGGCATTTACAGATTGTAGTTATATCAAAGACTTGTAACAGACTCTGGGGAAATGTAGAGAAGCCAATGGAAGAACTTAAAACGTATATTTT